TGGAAAACACCGAGAAGGCAAAATCTACCTTATTAATATAGGTTTCAGTAGGCAGGTGGTGGAGCTCAAGCTTTGATTGCCCTCTAGTGCCTGGCTTGAGTATAGCAACCCACCCATCCTCACATGCCCAGTGAGTCAGTAAGGCAGTCAACAAACATTTAATGAGCGTCTACTACATGTCAGGCATTGTGCTTAGAGCAGGTGATACAAAGAAAAGCAAAAGACAGTCTCTGTCCTCAAGGAACTCACAATCTAATGGGAGAGGCCACAAAGAAATAAACACAAAAAACTACACACAGGATAAATAGGAAATAATTAAGAGAAGAAAGGCACTAGAGTTAAGAGGAGTGGGGAAAAGCTTCCCGTAGAAGACTGGATTTCAGTTTGGACTTAAAGGGAGCCAGGGAAGTCAGCTCTGATAGCTAAGCTTAAACTGGCATCAGATGGTTTACCCAGATATTATGAGGGACCGCCTCTAGTCCAGCCTCAGTGTTTTTTAAATAATATTTTATTTCCCCCCAATTATGTGTAATATAATCATCATAATAATTATTATAACATTATAATTATAATAATTTTGATACTGACATTCATTTTTTTGAGTTCCAAATCCTATCCCTCCCCTCTCCCTGAGATAGTAAGCAATCTGTTTTTAACAGATGAAACCCTACTCTTGTTAGGGTTAGAGCGAGGCAAAGGGTTTCACTTGTCAGAGACCTCAGAGATGTTGTGGGGGAAGTACTTTGTAAACCCCTAGACGCTATAGCAAAGTGTGTTTATTGTAGTTATTATCCCTATTATACAGGTGAATAAATGGAGAACCAGAAAAGTATTGTACTTAGTCTAAGTTTTCAGAGCTCATAATTTTGACAGCAATTAAGTTTCATGTACAAGACTGACTCTAAGTAGCAGAGAACCAGGGGTTGGAAGAGACTCTGTAGGGACATAGAGACTGCAGAGAGGCAGAGTGGAATAGTGGGCAGAGAATCAGCCTTGAAATCAGAGAGACCTTCTCTATCTATGCTACCCTGGGCAAGTCACTTAACCAATCAGGGCTTTAGGGCATTCTCTAAGACTATAAATCGCAAAGAAGGTGCCAAGTTGCATTAGTAGAGGGAGTTTCTTATACCAGTGAAATCACAGTTCAAGTCAGAAAGGAGGAGAGAGAGAGAGGAAGAGAGAGAGACAGGAGAGACAGAGACAGACAGGGAGAAGCGAGAAAGAGAGACAGACAGAGAGGAAAGACGGAAATAGAGAGACAGACAGAGGAGAGAGAGAGAGAGAGAGAGAGAGAGAGAGAGAATGTAATGTGTGTTGCAGAGGACAATGACTTTTAATTGCTGTTGCTTTGTTTCGTCTTTCTATCCCTAAGACCTAGGAGAAGCAGTATGGCATAATATGTAGAAAGCTGGCCTTGAAGCAAAGAGGACCTGAGTTCAAATGCTTCCTTTGGCTAAGTGACCCTGGACAAGTCACAAGTCAGTGCTCTGGGAAACTCACTAAGACTCCAGTTGTAGAGAAGGGGCAGACCTGCATTGGGAAAGGGAGAGTCCTCACCTGACAGTTCTTTATACCAATTAAATTACAGGTCCAGTTGTCATCCTTAGCCTATGTCAGAGTTTGATAGACTCAGCTCTTCTCAGCAATGCAAGGATCTAAGACAATTCCAAAAGATTCATGATGAAAAATGCTATTGATATGTAGAGAAAGAACTGTGGGGTCTGAATGCAGATGGAAGCATACTATTTGCTCTCCTTTTCTTTTGTTGTTCTGTTTTATTTCTTCTTTCTCATCATTCCTCCCATTGGTTCTCATTCTTCTTTCATCATGACTAATGGAAAACATGCTTAATGTGAGCGTATAAATAGAACCTATATCAGATTGCCTGTCATCTTGGGGAGGGGGAGAAAATTTAAAATTCAAAATCTTATGGAAGTGAATGTTGAAAACTAAAAATGCGAATATACACTGCCCTCAAGAAACTTTCATTCTAGTGGTTAAAACAACATATATAAATAAATACTTGCAAGATTGTTGTTGTTTGCCCTTCGTTCTCCAAGAGGACCATGGCATCGGGAAGGCACGGCCATGACTTGCAAGTGAATTGGATTTAAGTGAGGGAGGGCTGTATAAAGTCACCAGCCTCACTTTCTCCTCCAGAGCCATCTGGGTCCAGTGGCCAGATTTCAATCAGGACGATGAGATGGCCCCGAATGTAGTGGTTGCAAAATAAAGATAAAGTGGAAGGAAGGTAGTTTCAGAAGGGAAGATGCTAGCAGCCCCGGAACTGGGAAAGACCTCATGAAGGAGGTGGTGCTTGGGAGGAAGGAAATTAGGGGTGCTAAGAGCCAGAAGTCGGGGTGAGAACATTCCAGCCATAGGAGATAGAGATGTCACACAGTGAAACTGTCAGAGTAGGGAAGTAGGCACCTCTCTGTTAGAGGCCTTCAGACACAGGTTGGATAACCATTGTCAGGGATAGATATGAGGCAGAAGTGTGATATTTCAGCCAGAAAAGCTCATGAGGTTTTGGGCTGTACTGAAAAGCATGACTTCCAAGAATTAGGATATGATACTCCCTCTGCACTCAGCTCTGACCAGACCCCATCTGGAGTGTTGTGTTCAGTTCTCAGCGTCATGGTTGTTGATAAGTTGGAGGGTATCCTGGCAAGCAGAGAAGGGCAAACAGGGTGTCACACAAAGATTGGTTAAATAGGCTGGTCATGGTCGGCCCCTAAGCTAAAATGTGCCATGCCTGGGGAGGCAAGACTTCATGGGACAGGGAAGGGAAGACTTATGGAAGACGTTCAGCTTTTCTCCAAGTATTTGAAGGTGTGACATATAGAGGAAGATTTGAGTGGTCACCTCTTCATTCCTTGTTCTGATTTGCTTCAGAAGGCAAATCCAGGAGCCATGGGCACTATCCTGGTATTCTCACAGGGACTCAGGGAAGAGGGTTCCCCAGTCCAATGTTCTAGGGACCATTCCTAAACTCATTCTGTTCATATTAGCTCCAATCCCTAAAAGAAAAAGAAACAAATCCCAGAGTAGGGGGAAAGGAAAGGAAGGGGAGGGAAGAGAGGAAATAATGAAAGCTGACCCAAAGTGGGATGGATTCTCTCAAGAGGTGTTACCCATCTCTGCCTTATGTCATTGTCCCCAAAATGACAGAACGTCAGAGTTGGAAGGGACTTTAGCTTGCTAATCAAGTCTCTACTTAGAGGTGAGGTGGTCTTCTTTACGATATATCCCACAAGTGGTCATTGAGCCGTTTCCCGTCCCCACCAAGTGAAAGGGAAGCCACCACCTCTTGAGGCAGCCCCCTTTGGGACAGCTCTGATTATCAGTTAGTTTTTCCTGGACGTTGAGCAAAAACTTGTCTCTTTCAAGAATTATTCCTAATTCTAGGGACTCTAGGAACTCTAGGGACAAGCAGAGCAAAGTTATTTCTTCTTCTATCCAAGAGACCTTGAAGACAGTTCTTATGTTTCCCCGAACCTTCTCTTCCTCTGGCTCTTTCAATAAATCCTGATATGCCTCCCTATCCTGGTCATCCTCAGCAGGATTTACCAATATCCTTCCTCAAATTCTATGCCTGGTGCTGAACACACTACTTGACATATGGTCTGGTCAGGGAAGAGTGCAGGAGGATGCTTATCTCTTTATCCCTGGAAGGTATATCTTTCTTAATTCAGCCCAAGATCATGTAAGATTTTGGTTGCCCCATCACACTGTTGACTCGTATCGGGCTTGCAGTGCACTAAGAATCGCAGATCTTTTTTTTTTTTAGGTAAATTGTTCTCTAGTCAAGTCTCCCGAATCTTGTACTTGTGCAATTGGCTTTTTAAAAATAATCTAAATATAAAATTTCACATTCATCCCTATTAAATGTCGTCTGTTGTCCACACAGTGGCCCACCTATAGAAGGAAAGGAAGGAAGGAAGGAAGGAAGGAAGGAAGGAAGGAAGGAAGGAAGGAGGGAGGGAGGGAGGGAGGAAGGAAGGAAGGAAGGAAGGAAGGAAGGAAGGAGAGATAGAAGGAAGGAGGGAAGAAAGGAAGGAAGGAGGGATAGAAGGAAGGAGGGAGGGAGGGATGGAAGGAAGGAAGGAAGGAGGGAAGGAAGGAGGGAGGGAGGGAGGAAGGAAGGGAGAGAGGGAGGGAGGGAGGAAGGAAGGAAGGAAGGAAGGAAGGAAAGAAGGAAGGAGGGAGGGAGGGATGGATGGAAGGAAGGAAGGAGAAGGAAGGAAGGAAGGAAGGAAGGAAGGAAGAAGGAGGAGGGAGGGAGGGAGGAAGGAAGGAAGAAAGGAAGGAAAGAAGGAAGGAGAGATAGAAGGAAGGAGGGAAGAAAGGAAGGAAGGGGGGATAGAAGGAAGGAGGGAGGGAGGGATGGATGGAAGGAAGGAGGGAAGGAAGGAGGGAGGGAGGAAGGGAGGAAGGAAGGGGGAGGGAAAGAAGGAAGGAATGAAAGAAGGAAGGAAGGAGGGAGGGAGGGAGAAAGGAAGGATGAAAGGAAAGAAGAAGTGAAAGGAAAGTGAAGAAAAGAAGGAAGGAAATGGTACCTACTATGTGCCAGGCACTGTGCTAAGCATTTTAGAAATGTTAGCTCATTTGATTCTCACAACAGGTGAGATAATAGTAGGTGATAGTATTATCCCATTTTATAACTGAATAAACTGAGGCAGATAAAGGTTATGTGCCTTGCCTGAAGTCCCACAGCTTGTAAGTATGTATGGCTGGATTTGAATTCGAATCTTCCTGACTCCAGGACCCAGTTTCTACTTGACTTTAACACCACTGGCAGGAAACTTAAAGAATGAAAACAATTAAGCACAACACACCCTTGGCCTTGAAAACAGCCTCAATGTGGAGTTATGCAAATATACTTTGGGGCTTTTCTAACTACCTTCTAACCACCTAAACTTGGCCCTTGGGAAAATCCCAGAGGGAACCCCTATGAATGACCCAGACTGAGCTGGAATGGGCCGGGATCTAGTGGGAGCTTAAGCCACTTTCTCCAGGGCATGGCTAAGACGTTCCAGGTCTGCTTTCACTTGGTGGAGCACCGTCTTGATTTTCTGGACTGAGTCTAGAATATTTACACAGCAAGTGAAAGGATCATAGTGGACCGAGAAGGGTCTCTGGATCTTCTGAACGTATTTCCTGCCAGAAAAAAAAAAAAGGAAGCACAAAGTCAGCCACCTGTGGACAAACAGAGGCTAAATACATAGACAATCATGGGTCCATTTGCTTATGATATCAGAAAGAAGGAACCAAGCTTTTTATTATGTATAAATTGTGTGCCAGGCACAGTGCTAGGTGCTTATACAAATATTATCCCATTTGATCCTCACCAAAACCCCGAGAACTAGGTACTATTATTATGTATATTGCATAGCTGAGGAAACTGAGGCAAGACAGAAGTTAAGTGACTTGCCCAGGGTCATACAGTTAGGAAGTATCTGAGGCTGAATTTGAACTCACATCTTCCTGACTCTAGGTCCAGCTCTGTCTCCACTGCTCCATGTAGCCCTCAAGGCAAAGAATAGTGGAATTGAAGTCAGGAAAACTTTGTGTTTAAACCCTGTTTCTGATACTTCTTAGCTGTGTAACCTTGGACATATCATTTAACCTGAGCTTTAAGTTTTCTCAACTGTAAAATGGAGATGATGATGATAACAATATTTATAATAATAATATCTATAGCATCTACTTATAAGGCTATGAGGCATTATGTAAATTTCTATATAAATGTCAGCTATGATCATCACGAAACACAGTGCACCTGGGCCTAATGATGGCTGTGCACAGAACATCCTGCCTTCTCACTCAGTTGGGTTACTACCCTTTGGGGGGAAATGGCTCAGTACAGTGACTGTCTACACTCTTCTCCTCTGACCCTACCTCCCTGGTATGTCCCACAAACCCACTTATGGCCTACCCAAAGGTCACTACTCACCGGAGCTTGTCCTTGGCATCTTCTAGACTTTCTGACACAAAATAAATGGGCTGGAAGGCCTGGTCTTGATAGGGCTGGATGGCAGCGACTTCAGCTTCAAATGGCTTGTGCTCTGGCTTGCTTGATAAAGCATGCTGAAAATCAAAAATGAGGAGCAGAGAGAATCGATGAATGTGCATTTCAGAGCACGTAGGTCTTGTCTAGTCTTAGGAAAAGCCTTGGGTTAGGAGACTTTTACATCTACGACTTTAGAGGTTATTTCGTCCAATCCCTTCATTCTAAGGAGGAACTTGGAAGCAAAAAAGTATAAGTGATTTGCGTTTGGGGAAGTGAGAGACAGAATCAGGACCTGAAATCAGGACCTTTGACTCCTAATCTAATCATCTTTTCAATGTCCCTGGATTCACTTGCTTGTTGAGGGACCTTGTTGGTGTCCTTTGTCCTTCATTCTCGAAGAGAACCATGAGATCATGAAGGTGATGCCGTGACTTGCAAATGAATTGGATTTAAGCGAGGGAGAGCTGTGCTAAGTCACCAGCCTCACTTTCTTCTCCAGAGCCATCTGGGTCCAATAGCCGGATACAGATCAGGATGACTGGAGATGGATGGCCCAGGATGCAGTGGGACATCTTAGCCTTCTTAAGCTAAGGTCTTTCTCAGGTCTCAGTTTGACTGAGGCAATACCTATTTAGTGATTAAGGCTCAGTACACGGAGGACCTTGTACCAGGCACTTCAAAGACTCAGCTTCCTCAATCATTCAATCATTCAAAAAGTATTTCCTGTGTACTTACTTTGTGCCAGACACTGTGCTAAGCCAGAAAATAGTCTCTGTCCTCAATTCCTAACCTTTTTTTTTTCCTAGCCCCCTTTGGCAGTCAGTCTGGTGAAGCCACTGGGTCCTTTCTCAGAGTTGTGTTTTAAAATGTATAAAATAAAACCCATGGGAGTACAAAGAAAACCAATTCTATTGAAATATATTTATTCAAAATATTGTTTAAAACATTCATTGGCCCCAGGGTAACACTTGTCTTGTCTACCACATGAGGTCATTATCTGGGTCTGATTAAATAATTCATTGGGAAAGTTCTTTGAAAAGTTAAAAGTGCTATCAAATGTGAACTATTAGAGTAGAGTAAAGTGCTCAACTTGGGATCAGGAAGATCTGGGTTCAAATCCTGTTTCAGACACTTACTAGCAAGTCACTTCATCTTTCCATGCCTCAGTTTCCCCACCTCTAAAATTAGAGGGTTGAACTCAGTGGCCTCTTATAGCTCCTTCTAGCTCTGAATTTACAACCTAATATTCATGATATTAGTATTTTTTTATAGCAAGATCACAGGTTTTCCCTCCCAGTTAGGGAATACTGTTCTGCAGAGGCACCTAGTATAATATAGTAAATAATAATAATGATAATAATAACATCATGTTTTAAGATTTACAAAGTATGTTACTCAAATAAAACACCTTGTTCGTTCCTTCTAACAGCCCTTTTGACAAGGTAGCGTGGACACTACTGTGCCCATTTTCCAGGTAAACAAATGAATTCTGAGATATGAGACTGGTTGTTGTTCAGTCACTTTTAGTATTGTCTGACTCTCCGTGACCCTGTTTTGGGTTTTCTGGCCAAGATCCTGGAATGGTTTGCCATTTCCTTCTCCATCCTGAATAGACTGGCATAGTTTCACAAACCTAGAAAGGGCCAGAGTCATCCTTTTGAAGGCAAGTCTGGTGCCTTGTAGACAAGAAGAAACATGTTCTGTCCTTGCTTCTCTGAGTTAATATTTCATCAATTCCACCCAACCACCAAGGACAATCTGATGCCTGGTATGCTCTCCCTCTGACATCAGCCTCTTGGAATTCCTGGTTTCTTTTATGACTCAGCTCAAGGGTCCCCTTCTGCCTGAGCCTTCTTGTGGTCCCCCCAGCAGCTAGTGCACCTCCTTCCCCAACTTTCTGGATTCATTCTGTATATATGCTACATATGCCTAAAAATGTACATTTGGGAGCCCCTGTTAAAATGTAAGCTTTTTGAGGGCAGGAACCAGGTCGTTTTGGTCTTTATATTCCCCCACTTAGCATAGTGCTTCCACAGTGCATCTGCTCTGTTTCTGTTCCACAAAAATCTCCCTCCCTGGTTAAGGTCATAATGTCTAAACTCACCACCATACTGCTAATTCAATCCTTGATTAACTCAAACTCCCTCAGTATCCTCTCCCCTCCGAGTTGAGGGTGAAGGATGGAGTGCCAAACTCCTTCAAGTGCCTTCCTTTATAGAGGGGAGAAACTGGACTCTCAGATCATTCTACCTTGCATTTGCTGTCCTGACTACATTCAACTCCACAGAATAAGATGCCCCCCACCCATTCTTCCCCTGTACTGAGTACCCCCTGATGTCCCATCCCTCCTCCCTCTTTTCTTGCCTTCTTTTGTATGCTATCCCACCTCTCAGACACTTACTAGCTGCATAACTCTGGGCAAGTCACTTAACCCTGTTTGCCTCAGTTTCCTCATCTGTAAAATGAGTTGGAGATGGAAATGGCTCAAGGTACAGAAACTGTAGTTTCCTTTCTGCCCACAGCACCTAATTAGCATACTTGGCACACTATTCACTGCATCGCCCCCATTGAGTTGCTTGTTCCCAAAGGAGCTCCGCCTGCTTTATTAGTGTTATGATAAACTTTTGCCACTTGGCTGGAAGACTGCTTGAGTCTTCAAATTCTTCCCAGACAACTCCACCCTGTACCTCAATAGTTTTGGGGTCCCTGCACTCCTAAACTGCATCAGATTGGCATTAGCTTCTGTTTTGGTCCTATGTCATTTTTTCATGGAAAAATCCTGGGCCATAATCGAGCTATTCATTCAATAAGCATTCATTACTGTGTTCAGTCACTAAGATAGGACTGGAGATAGAAAAGCAATGTGAAACAAGCATTGCCCTCAAGGTGCTTCCATTCTCTACCCTGTGCTCAATAAATGTTTGCTAAGGGGGAAATGGGAGGTATCCAGGTAAGCAGAACTTAATCCTTTAATCGGCAAAACTCTTTTTATTTTAACTGTGTCTCAAGAAAAATTTTCTGAAATGTGTTATGTGCAAGAGTATCGTAAAACTGTTCAGTGGGGCGATTATGCTCAGAAATGAATTCTCAAGAGAGGAAAAAGCCACGGAATTTCTTGGTAGTCTCCTGGTTTGCTGGTCATTTTCCACAGTGAATGACTATATGTATAATAAACGATGAAAGGTCAAAGCCAGCCTTCAAAAAAATAGACATGGCTCCATTGACTGCATTTGAACAGAAAAGGTTTTTTTCTGCCTTTTCCATTAACTTTGGGTCAGAGAGATGGACACTGCTTATCTTTGGATGCTCAGGAAATTCTGATAATGTTAAATAGAATAGAAGCTTCCTGAGGGTAGAGACTATTAGTATTATTATTGTTATTATTATCTTTGTAACCCCAGTATACTAAGTACAGAGTATGACACACTGTAGACACAGCAAATGCTTGTTTGAATTGAATTAGAGAATGTAGTTGAGGTGACCAAATTGTATATTTAGCACCACAGTGCTCAGTCGTTTTTATCTAATTCAAAATATAATAATAGCATCTAGTATTTACATAGCACTTTAAAGTTTCCAAAGGACCTTACCAATATTTCATCTGATCCTCAGAACAACCTTGGGAGGTGGGTGCTATTATTATCCTAATTTTACACTTGAGGAAACTGAGGCAAACAGAGGTGAAGTGAGTTACCCAAGGTCACATAGGTAGTAAGTATCTGAGGTCAAATCAGTGTGGTTGTAGACATAGCTGTTTCTGACTTTCTAGCCCAGAGCTATGAGGTTCCAGCCACTTAATCTATTCTGGGTCTGAAATGTCAATCAGCTTGTCCTGAAGCTCAATACACAATTGTCACAGGGACACACATAGTTTGAGGGAGCAAAAACAGAGATAGGCATGAAAGGCTTCCCTTGCTACTAGGCTCCTCAGAGGTGCCCTGACTTGCCATGATGTGTCCTCCCCCTTTCAAGAAGTCCATTCACACCCTTCTAGAAGGTTTCAGTAACATTGCCCCTGACCCCAGAGTTCTCTCTCTCTCTTTTATATGCTACTACTAGGCAACCTCAGAATGAAAGATGGGCTGATGCCCTCGTTCAAGCTATTAGCAGGAGTTATTGCCTGCATGTTCCTAAAATGCCAGTGGTGATCACCCTTGTACCCCTGTAAGTGACCTCAAAAAATAGTGGTGATCTTTTTCAGCATGTCCATGAAATGTATAGGGCGTAGCTTGTCCTTGCCTTAAAAGACCCCAGAATGCTTTTCTAATCTCCATTTCTCATGTTTCTTGCCTCTATGGTACAACCAAGAGTCCTGAAATAAGCTACAAGGGACTATTAAAGGAGGCATGTCGTCCAGTGGAAAGAATGTCAGCCTTGAAGTCAAAGGACCTAAGTTCGAATCCTGTATTTACCACTTCCTACTTGTGTGATCTTGGACAAGTCTTTTTACTTTCAAGTGGTTTTCTGGTATGTAAAAGGATGGATTTGGATGGCCTAATATCCTTTCCATCTCTACATACATGATCTTATGATCCCAGGTCATCTATTCCAAGCCCATTGGTTTACTTACAAATAACAAAACTTGTGCCCAGAGAGGTGATTTGTCTGAGATCAGAAAGTGATTAAAGAACAGAGGCATGATTTGAACCCAGGACCTTGCTTTCAAACTTGAAAGGCCTTTGTTTGCCCCATACTGAAAGCACACTGTTGTGCCATGACGGTTTGAGTTTCCTTTTCTTCCTCCCTTGTCCTCATCTCTGATTTCCACTGTTCTGTCTCTCCTTCTGGTCTTTTCTGTCTTTTCTTTTCCGTATCTCTTTTTCTTCTTGTTTCTTGTCATATTCCTTATCTGTGGCTTCCCCTTGGCTGAAAAAAGGCTTTTCATTGCCTTTCTACTATGGGCGTCTCCAGCCAATAAGAAGGATGCTTCCCTCTGGACACAAACTTGACCAATCACAACTTGTCTTCACTTCTTCTGTTTTTCTGCTTTTCTGTCTCCTCCCACCAACCTCTTCTGTTTTCATCCCTTCGGTTTCTTCTGAGTAGATAGTTGTTCAGAATTAATTTGTTCCTGTTC